CATTCGTAGAGAAGATGGAAGATCGTTTCTTCCTTTTCCCTGTCTTTGCAACTGCGACAGTGTTCATTGAAGGGTAGCCGACTTGCATATCTGCATAGCACCTAGCATCCTGTTATTACTGCTATCAATCTCGATATATCCCGTCTACTTCGGTTTATAAGGAGTTTTGTGCATTTCTCATTGAAGAAGGGCCACAAAATCTTGGCCCCTTTACTTGTGTCTAGGTTATTCTACCTTTTTTCAGCCTTTTGATGATAGAATCGGAGGATACTATTCCTGATAAAACCTAACAGGGTTGTTATTGGAACGACGTTGGAGATATCAAGATCAGATCCCGATCTGGCAAGCTCATCTGCCTGTTCATTTCCATAATAGTACCTATGCGCAGGGGCCCAAACAGGGGTAATGTCAGACAGACGACCCACCCTTGACAGATCTTTCTTGCATTATCTTACTTATAGGGAAGTGGTAGTATAAGAATTTAATGAAAGAATTGCCTCTTGACACTACAGTTGTTGGGTGAGGTATACTTATACCAGCTCTTCACAGAAGACACCAGAACCAACACCACAGTTCATTTTAGAATCATCTGTATAAATAATATAGATATATACCCAATGTATATATCTGCTGAAAGCAGCAAAAATAGTTTCAGTTTCTGAATATTAAAATAATTTCTGATACAAACTACATACCTAGTCACTTCAGTCAAATCTTAAAATCAATAATCAAAGCTTCAATTATTTAAACTACTTTTCATTACTTATTAATTGGCATTTTAGTTCATTATAGGGAGGCAAGTACTTATCACGCTCTTTTACGAATAAGTACTTAAATACGTCATTACAAACGTGGAATAAAAAAGTTGTTTGTTTTACGTTGCTGACACAAAATACGAATCTGAATCTCGTTATTATAGGTCCGCTATCGTAACTTTATTATACATCAAAACTAAACTAAATAAGTACTCTCTTAAATGATTACATATTAGTTATTATTAGAGTACTTAAAAGTAATGCAGACGGTATGTAGTAGTCATCGAAAAGTTATTATGTTGATATCGAATTAAGTAAGGCTTGAAGAAGTTGCTGGGAAAGTGACATCTTGGTGTTATGAATTCTGAAGTCCCCATATACTCGGTTATGCCTGAAATGTGTCGCTTCTGTTATTGCTAGTCAGCCCATTTTCCCAAATATAGTGAAACTATTTGTATAAATGTTTAAGACACTGACAACTTCATTTTCCCAAATTTTCCTTCAATGAATTGTAGCACTCGCACTATTGCTGGTTATCATGGTCAATTACAATTACTTGTAATGTGTAATTGAACAATAACCAATTACAATTATTTGTAATTGTAGTTGAAGTTTTGCCAATAACAGTTACTTGTAGTGTCTATTCGACCAATCACAAATTACAATTATTTGTAATTGAAGTTTACCAATTACAATTACATGTAATTGTAAGCATGTATGTATTACTAATTATAAAATTCATGTAATTATAGGGGGAAAATTCTCAATTACAAGTAATTGCAATTATCAAAATATAAATTACATTTAAAAAACTTAAATGTAATTGTAATTAAAAATGTAATCATTACCTCCTAAGCCTGGTATTTACTTTTAATACTAATAATATAAACATAAATTCCACAACCAAATTATGAGAATCAGTTCATATTTGACTCTAGGTATCACATAGTTGGCCAAGAATGAGTACACTGTCTTACTTGTTAAGATATTAATTTTTAAGTTAGAGGCTCCAGCTAGGTAATATACACATATATATTAAAAACAACAGTGGGTTTCTATGAGAACATTAATTATGAACATTACAAACTCACAACTGTCGCCCCATCTTGTGTAATGTACATTTTTTATAATAAGTATTTATAATAGGTTTATGAATTGCATAATATATGAAATCCTTTACGTTACATTATTAACTAATCAAAATCGTGAACACATTCGTTAAATTATAAATTATTAAGGACATTTAAAAAAATGAAATTATTTTATCCTAAAGCTTTTGCAGTACTAAAGCATTTGCAACAACCTTAAAAAAACTTTTTCCAACTTTATATTTTTATACTTAAAAGTAGGTAGAACTTTTAAATGAAAGTTATACTTTAGCCTGTGTTGTTTAACTACACACCGCCAGAGTATTACTCCTTCTTGTAAGAAAATCAACCATCACAGGATAATACAGGCTGACTCACATTTAAGTGTTTCGAGGATGTTTATTTCAACCCTGTTTTTTAGTTTAAACAGGACAATTGCTGTATAATATTTGTTGAAAGTTACAGGTTTGTGAATGTGAAAATTTTTACAGTGTGTAGGTTTGTGTCATGACTATGAATGTAAGCGGAAATAAATATGTTAAGTTGTTAATTTCCGTATTTCATACAATTTATAAAGGATTATGTTAATGCTTTGTGAAGTTGACTTACAGTTTGAGATTAATTTGTGTGTATGTGTGCTTAAAATAAGGTTAGTTGTAATTATGTGTTGTTAATATCCTTAAATTGTTTTATTATCAGCGAAATAATTATAATTTGTAATTGGCGCTTGAAGCTTAAAATGTTGGGTTTATGGGCTAATTTACGATTTGGTAATATTTTGTTTAGTTTTCAAATAAGAGATAAATTTCTTTATGAAATTTTGTTGGTCCATAATTGATACATCCCTCAATAGGTTGTTTAATTAAATACCCCCATATTCACAAACAACATTTTTATTTTATAAAAGGTTTATAAAACAAAATTTCCAAATCTAATTATAAACCGTTTATAAAATAAAAATGTTGTTTGTGAATAAGGGGGTAAATTTATATTCTATACGTTCATTGTAGCACCTCATCAGAGTTATTTACCTGGAAAATCACTGGTGGAGGGTTTATGGTTGATTTTTTAATGACTACGTTTAAAAATAGGCTTTCGGTAACAATATTTAAATTATATCATTATCGGTATTAAACTAATACCGGTATCAAAAATAAATGCGTCAAACCTAATTAAAATAAACAAGTGTTGTATTCGGATAAGCCGAATCTTATATTATAAAAATCTTAAAATAAGTGATATTATAATGCAATAAAATGAATGTAAGCCCCGGTAGACTAGTTTGTAGTTGTTAATGCCAGCTTATCAGTCAGGGGGTCGTGTGTTCGATTCCTACCAGAGACTCTAGTCTGCTTCACTACAACAGGCGTATGGTAATCGTTACTCTGCTCAGTAAATTAGGTTAGAATATAGTTTGTAATTGTATTGTAATGGACAAATAAATAAATGTTTGGAAAAGTAATTAATATTGCAATGATGCTTATCTATATCGACTGTTATCACCATAAATTAACGATTCTTGATAACCTTGCTGAATTTCGGAACGGTACATTCCACTAATGACTTAATCTATTATGGACCAAACTCTGCAGAATGTTATAGAGTGATTACTTTTAATACTATATGAAAATTTGATTAACAACAGACTGATTTTCGAAAACATTCCTTATTGTAAGTTCAGTCAATTTTGAATCGATCTTCATAATTATTAAGAGTATCCCTTTGATATTGTTGTCGCATTATTAATGTATGCATGTGTATTTGCATATTATTTGGCAAGGACGTTTGTATGGTTGCTAGGTGAAATCGTGGATCGATATTGCCCATTTTCAGAACCAAAGAAATTGCATCAACATAAAATTCAGCCTTCTAGCTGCTCCGTTTGTGGCTTTTATTAATTTAAACAGACGGACATAGATCATCTTGAACGGACTCACAATTTATAATATACTTTTGTGGGTCCACGATATTTTCCTGTTTATTCATTTAAAAAGAAACAATAATTGTAATAATTATTTTTTCCCAAAATCATTTTATTTTTCTAAAATTCCATTTTTTTCTAAGATAGTAATTTTCACTAAAAAGTAAAAATTAAAATTTTCACTAAAAAGTAAAATTTTCACTAAAAATAAAATTTTTCACCAAAAATAAAATTTTTCACCAAAAATAAAATTTTTCACTAAAAAATAAAATTTTTCACTAAAAATTAAATTTTTCACTAAAAATTGAATTTTTCACTAAAATTTAAATTTTTCAATAAAAATTCAATTTTTCAATAAAAATTCAATTTTCACTAAAAATTTTATTTTTCACTAAAAATTCAATATTTCACTAAAAATTCAATTTTCACTAAATATTCAATTTTTCATTAAAATAAAATTTTTCATTAAAAATTTATTTTTCACTAAATATTCAATTTTTCACTAAAAAAATCCATTTTCACAAAAATTCCATTTTTTACTTAAAATTAAATTTTTCACTAAAAAATTAATTTTTCACTAAAAGTTCAGTTTTCACTAAAAAATTAAATTTTTCACAAAAAATTACTTAATTCACTAAAACTTAAATATTTCACAAAGATTTGCTTTTAGCAAAAATTGAATTTTCTACTAAAGAGTAAAAATTGTTCTTAAAAAAACAATTTTCTAAGTGAAAACTAAGTTTTCCGTAACAAATCCTATTAATATTTTTTCCTACATAGATTTAAATTTCTTGTTCCCATTTCTTATTTCAGATGACTTTTTTACTAGTTAAAATTCCGCAAGTGATTTTGAAGGTAAACAACATAATGCAACATGTTCTTTATTTTAGCTTTTTTTTCATTTCTTTGTTTTCATTTTTTTTGCTGTTTTGTTACTCTCACTAGATTCTTATCGCGCTAATAAAACATAAACAAAATCAACTTTTTGACAGTTGCAAAATAAACATTTAAATTTATTACAATGTGTGAGAGCTAGAGAGAGCAGATTAAGGATATACATTTTTTTTGTCAATGAAAGCTTTTTTGCGTATTTTATTTATATTTGTTATGCCGCTAGAAAGCTTTTTCTGTTGATGTATGGAACATATTCCATTCTACAAAAGTTCTCAAAGTCTACACAAAATAAGAAGTAAAATTATTTTATAATAAGATGTTTATTGAGGAAATTTCACAGTACGTGTTGGGTCCTTGGAGCTTTCGGTTCAATTTGAAAAACTAAAAAAAAGAAACGCACAACAAAATTGTTGTTATTGTGAGAGAAAATAAAATTATTAATATAATAATAAAAATTTAATTACTAAAAGCTAATTAAAAGCAGTAAATTAAAGTTAAATAAAAATTTAATTAATGTGCCAAATTATTAAGTATATACGTGTAATAAAAATACTGCAAAATAAAAGCTAAAAAATAAAGTTTTTTAAAAAAGGTTAAACACATTTTAATAAAAAGAAACAAAAACAAAACGGGAGTGTTCATTGGATTACATGAGAGTGCCAAATTTTGTTTGTAACTTTAGTGAGTTTGAAAAAAATAATATAAGGATTTATGATACAAATATAAATCCTTTAACTGTATACTTTTGCAAGGACCCCAGGATTACCTGGCAAAAGTGAAAAGTGTTAAGTTTAAAAAATTCTAATAAGAAATAAAGGAAATAAAAAAAAATCTAAATCTAAACCGTATTAAAAAGATTTAAAAGTTGATTGACTTATGAAGGACTTTTGCTTAGTCTGAATTTTGAATAGCAAAAACAAAAAGAATGTTTGTGAAAAAATAATACAAAAACGTTTGACATTGAACTTGCAAAAAGTAAAAGAAGAAAGTGAAATTTATTTGTTAAGCTAAAGAAATGTTAAGAGTTTAAATTTGATAAAAATAAATAAGACAACATGTTATTTTTAAGTGTCTCGAGCAGCTTAATGCTGATTTATTTACTGCTGGCTTTATGCTGCAATATACATTCAGCTCCCACTCACCATTTGACCATAGGTGTCCAAGGCAATACACCCACTTTAATAGTAACCTCCTCGGAAATTGGTATAACCCCAGAAACTATGGGTTCTCTAAAGAAGCCAGTGAAGCATGAAAATACTGAGAAGAAATCCTTGAAAACTAAATTAAATAAAAATCATTCAGTGTTTGATAAAAAGGAAAAATTGCAATATCCAGCAAAACCTTTAAACAAATACGCCAACTCAGAGGAGAAATCATTTGAGGTAATCAAATCAGCAAAATCCTTGAGCAAACAAACTTCCTTGGAAGAAAAATCATATGAAGTAATGAAATCAATAGAAAAACAAGAAAATAAGGAGAAAATGTTTAAGAAGCTAAAGCAAACTAAACATAACACTGAAACATTGAAGGACCAAGAAACCACAACTCAAAATCTTTTTGATTTTAAAACAACTATGAGTGTGGAATCTACTACTACAAACACAGAGAATGTAGATATTTATCAAACAAATTTACAATTAACTTCTTTAACACCTACACAAAGCAATGATATTCAATCTGTAACTTCCTATACAACTGTACAGCCCGAAGAACTGTCTACTACAACACCTCAGGCTAACACAGACAAAATATCTCCCACACCTTTGAAATTTGAAGATGTTGATGATCTTAAAAATCCCCCAGCTTTATCGACTAGTACCTTAAACCCTAAGGATTTCAATGACATTACAACAGCAGCAACAACAACTATTAATTATGAAGATGGCACAATTACAGCCACAAATTCAAAGGCTTTAACAAAAACGCAAACAGAAACCGAAGCAAATGTTGCTGTAGACGCACAGTCTGAGCAAACAACACAAATTGTACAAAATACAACCGTCATTAAAACAGAATATGAAAATGACAGCAATATCCAGGATCCCGTTGCTACAGAAGAAAATGAAAATCTATTGTTAACAACCATAGAAACAAAAGCATTTAACACTCCTACTACTACTACTACAGCGATAACTGGTGGTGCTGCTGATGCCAGTTCTTCGTCGCCCACTTTTGTCACCTTAATAACAGACAATGCAGAAGCAACAACTACAACAGAAATGTTGTCTATACCATTAACAATGACAACGACAGAAAATGTTGTTGATGACGATAATAACAATAATGATAAAAAGAAAGAACAGCAGCTTACAACAATAGAATACTCAGAAACAGCTACACATACAGCAACAACAGAAGTAGCTGAAAAGAAGAGGGAGAAGGATAAAGAAACTGAAAATCCTGTTGAAGCTGAAAGCCAAAGCAATAAAAATAGTGGTATTACAATTAAACCCAAACAGGAGTATACGTTAGCAACAACTACCAAAGAACAAACTGAAAATGATGACTTCAAGTCAACTGAAAATCCTGTACAAGCCATATCCGTGGCAACTAACCAGGACAACGTAAGTGAACAAAATGAAATTGTTACAGAAACAATAACGGAAACGGAAGACATAGTAACAACAACAAATTCAACACCATTAACTATAACAGAACAACAACAACAGTCATTCAGCACATTTAAAACACAGCAAAAGGACTTGGAAACAACAACAGAAGCAGCCACCACTGAACCTACTACCGAGGCAGTTTTAAAACTGATTGACTTGGAGAAACATGTTCTAAAGACAATTGATGAATTGAAGCAGCCCTCTTCATTGTTAATGGCTGGACAACATGATAATGGTCATGATGGTTTGAAAAACATAAAGAAAAAGCAATTGATAGACAAACATTATGTTGAGGCTTTATTGCACAATAAACATGATGTCCATGTAAAGGATTCTGCTGAAAATGAAAAATATTTGCCATTAACTACAACTGCTCCCACATTGAGTCCTTCAATTGCAGCTACTTCTACCACAACTACTAATAAACCTTTGTTAATGCCTATAAAACATGGCTATTTAGGACCAATTTTAATGGAAGAAAAAACTTTTCATGTCATACATCATGCAGACAAAGCAATGGCTTCCCGGCAAAAACATTTAGCCGAAATAGAGGCACAGCTACGAAAGGGTAATTTTGTAGAGTTAAAAGCAAACACTGAAGTTTCCGAAGCAACTAAAGAACCAATTAGCGATAATATTAAGGAAAATCTTGATATCAAAAACTTGTCCATGGAAATGCAATCCGATCAGCCAGCACAAAACTCCGAAACATATTTTGAAATTAAAGAAAATATTGAGGATTTGAAGAACAACAAAGAAAATGATAAACTAACTTTAAAGAAAACGCAAGCAAATGCAGCTGATACACTGGATATTATAAGTAAAACAGAACCCACCTTGGATAACCAACAAAATACACTAACTACAATCAAAATTCCTACAGCGGAAGATATAGCAACATTAAAATCTTTACAAGAATCAAAACATTCAAATTCAAACATTATTTCACCAATGAATGCAGATGAAATTCCCCAAGATACCGATAGCCCTGCAAAATCAGCTTCTGTTTTATCCACAACTGTATTTCAAGTCATAGACTCGATGGCCACCAAGACACCCATGCTGCAGGCCAACACCCTCTTCACCTCGGAAGATAAAGAAAAACCTTCAGTTGAAAAACAGGGAAAAGAACAAACAGAATCTAAAATATCGGATATACAAATAGAGGTCTACGATTCCACCATAGATTCAATAATAGCTTCGACAAACTTTAAAGATGGCGAACAAGTACAAAAGCAAACTGATGAAAGCTCTATGGGTAAGACCACTAAACCACCAATAGCGGCTATACAACAGGAAAGGTTTACACAATATGTTATAGATCGCACGGAAACTTCAACACAGGAACCGATTAACTATAGCACCATACAATTAGCTAATGGTAAGCCAGAACCAGCAGCCATAGAAATACACATTAATGTCTCCGAGTCATTCGGAAATGAAAGTGAGGATTTGGAATTCTCTTATCCTCAATCAGAATATAATAACAACAACAATAATGAAAGGCTGGGAGATGAGTCCTATGACGATAGTAAAGTCAATGATAATATCAAACTGAAAATACCCTCTAATACCAATAATAATGGTAAGGATTTGAGAAACGATGAGATACTGGTAGTGGAAATTATTGACACCGATAATATCACAGATTCCACCTTAAAACTTAAATCGAAAAATAATGATGAATTATTTATATCGGATGTCAAAGAACTATATACTACTCCACCCCCACCACCACCTCCGCCACCTTATCAAACGGGATTTGATCGAGATTCGGATACAATTTTCTATATATCCAATACCGAGGTAAAAGTGGGCGAATCTTTGCCCAACAATAAAAATGCCAATGAGGAGCGTAAACTTAAACTAGAGTCGCAATTTTTCCCAGCCAACTATATGGCCAGCACACATCCCAATGTTAATAGTCGGGAAGAAATAAATGTTCCTCATCATTTGTATGAAGAAGATATAATACTTTCCTCCAGTCGTAATCAAGCAGATTCTTTGAAAATCTATCGTAATCGTAATGAACCCTCACCTCCACTAGATGTAACATATGTAGGAGAGTCCATAATAGAAGTAGAACAATCACCGGATTCTGTTATAACAACAACAGATGCTCCCGATCAGCAACACAATGCAGCAGCAGCTGCCACCCCACAAGCAGATGTTATAATACAACCAGCTATATTACCGGAAATTTCTATAGGGGTTCCTGTTATCGGTGAATTGCCACCACAGATTGAACTAAAAGAAATCGATTTCATGCCCAACGAAGCGCAATTGCATCGCTCAGGCATATACGACGACAATGACAACAGCAACGGCAATAACAACAACAACATAATGTTTAACAACGACATAGACGAGAACACAATAAGTGGTGGTGGCAACAGCAACCATGATATAGACGTCGTTAACAGCAACGGCAACAACAACAATCAACGGGTAGACGAGTCATCAATACAATATGGTGGTGACCTTATAGATGAAAGCGCTGACGGTGGTTTTGATGGTGTCGAAGGTTCATATCCCTTTGGCAATCCAGCCACAATTGGAAAATCTTCTTCCTCCCACTACTCATCCGCCTTCCTGACAAAATTGCGAAAACAACAGCAGCAACAGCAACCAAATCACGTTGCAGACTATGCACACTTGTATGTCAACTATGGCGTAAATAATATGCGCAAAGATGAGTTAAGTGCAGATGTTAAAGACTCGGGGGAGCTGTTGCTTATAGGCGGTGTTGGCAATGGCAACGTTGCCAGTAACGAACAAAATATTACATCCTTTAAAGACTTTCTAAACAAAGTAAGCATGAGTAATTCCAGCATGCCATTTCTGAGTGCGAATACAACTCAAAACGAACGTATGAGTAACGCAACAGCATTTTCCGTTATGGAGGATGCCAATGATTTAGAGGATAAAAATACCGGTAAGTACTGAGTATCATGACACAACACCATTACACTGTACAGCACAGTCAACAAATCTTGACATGCTTGGTTAAATACATAATAATACTCTTAATGAGTTCTACTTGTTTCTTAAACTTCGTATTTTTATTTTTATTTTCTTACTTTGCTGCTTAAACTTAATGATGTTGTCAGCAGCATTTATTTAAAGAGTAAAAAATGTTTCTAATTTCATTTTTCAAAATTTCTTTTTCTTAAAACTCCCCTCTTTACAACATTTGCCAGAAGACATTATAAATTTGATATCGCTGGCTATTGGCCTGTTCATTGTAATATTGCCCGTTGTCGTTACCTGCAGTATGTTCTGGGCATTAAGGTACATGAATATTACATTTATATTTTTTATGTTACATCCTTTCTTTTTTAATATTAAGTTATAAATAATTTAGCACGTGAAAATGATTGCTTGAATTTTGTATGAATTTACATAATTTGTGGAAAGTTTTCGTTTTCATGGCAACATTGTGGCAAATTAAGGTTATTTGTAGGATACTTATTGAAAAAATTGTTACATGTTGGTAAGAAGATGCCCGTGTTACTTGTATTTTATTTATTCATTTGAATTTTATATTGGAGTATTGTGAAAGTTTTTTGATCAATAAAGTTGGGAGTATTATTTCAGTAAATTATTAGCTGGTATCTTAATTTTAGCATTTCATGTTTGCATCATTAGTGTTGGCCAACAAGATTTTTTTACAAAATGTCTATTAAAGCTTACCTAGATCAACAAAGAATTGAGATTGTTAGTACATGTCGAAATTTTTACTATATTTTGTTGAAATTGGGAGCATAAGAGTTTTTTTTTGCCCAAGGATGAAACATATCAAAAAGGGTTTGGACAATTAAGATCATAACTACTATTTGACGTAGTACTATTAACTTTTCAAAGATCGGTTCAACTAAATTTTATGCAATTCTAACTCGTAATGATCGGCCGTCATTTGACCCATAAAACGTCCCCTTAAGAAAATGTGTTAAACGTCCATAATTGACTCAAAACCATTAATATCGCGTTGAAATGCAGTTAAACCAAACTTCTATGTAAACACAAATCCCCTCGTTGAATTTTTAAGGGATCGGCCCATTTTTGCAAGATAACAAAAAATTACCACGAATTAGATTGTTAAGACAGATCCAGGATTTCCTTTCTTCAAAGGCTATCTATTGGTTAAAACTGCATCATTTATACCCTTTTGGATAAAATTTCTAATGAAAGCTTTTCTCCCCAAGTGAAAAAACTTTTCAAAACAAAGCTTTACTCCCTAAGGGAGACAATTTTCTTTCGATAAAGCTTTATACCCTAAAAACAGAAAATATTTCAAAGATAGTTTAACTTTTCTAAAAAAAAGCTTTACTCCTTAAGGAAATAAACGTTTTAACAGAAACCTTCACTTCATAAATAAAAAGCTTTTCTAAAGAAGGCTTTACTTTCTAGGGGTAAAACTTTGTAAAAAGAGCTTTATTCCCTAAGGCAGCAAACTTTTTTAAAGAATGTCTTACTGCCTAAGAGAGTAAAGGAAATAAATTCTCTAACGAAAGTTTTATGGCCTAAGGGAACCAACTTTCCTAAGTCTCTAAAGAAAGCTTAACGCTCTAAGGGAGTAAACTTTTCTAAACTTCCTAATTTAAAAAAATATGTTTATAATTACAAGTGATAGGATAATTAACTTTTGAAATCATATACAAATTATTGCTGTAATAATTAATATCCACTAATATTTCTTTAAATTAAACATTTTCATAAACTAAAATTTAATTTGCTTTTGCGTCATTCATGAATTTGCAGAATGAAATTAGATTTCCCATTAAAATTGCTTTACAAAAGTTTGCATAAATCACAAAAAATGTAATCGAAAGCAGGTCAAACCAACTATTGTTTTACTTCTACCTTACAAAATCATTGTCCACACAACTCATCCTCAACATATCTGCAATAAACATCTCTTTGCATTTCAAACGTATTATTGTTTATCAATCCTATTAAGGAAATTTAGTAGCTTAGGTATCCGTTTACAAAAGAAAATTTCCAAGTAATTGACATTTAAAGACGAGCGTGTCTAAAGTAAGATTCAAACACAATCAATGACTTTCATTTGCTATAACAAGTTGTGTGAGGAATTCTAGCAATCATTTTCATATTGACGTACGCGTGCACAATTTTACATGGAATGTAGAAATGAAAAAATGTTTTATTATTGTAATGTTTAACATTGTATGTATGTTGTTTCTCTTCCTTATAATTAGATACTTGTATAAAAAATATCATTCGAACTTAACGGACAGCGGAGGATATACGGATCAAACAGAAACAAAAACTCCATTAAATGAAGATGGTGTGGAAAAAGGCGAGGTAATTGAACTTTAGCTATTTTTACAATATATATTTTTTCTTTTTATTTTTATTTTAATTTTATTTTTTAAGTGCTTTAATTTGATCTAATTTAATTAAAGATTTCTTTTATTTGGTTTTTGGTCTTGTTTATCTGGTTTTGTTTTGAAGAATTTTAAATGAAATAGTATACATTTTCCATTTATTTTATAACAAAAGATAAATTTTCATCATCATACAATACAATTATGTTAATTAGAAAAAGCATTATCACTCGCATAACAAGAGGCATGACATTTCATTCATTCGATTGGGTTTGGGGGCATTACGAATCATAAAAAAAATGTTAGCTATCAATTTCATTAGTTTTTTTATGTTTAATTTACCATTACAGTTTGTCCATGAACCATCCTCATCTCCCACAAATAGTAATAAGGATGCTATAGAAAAATATCCAGATACTTCCAATAAACCGTCCACCACTGAAACTAATGTTAAATTTTCGACTGAAAAACCCACTTCTCACTTAGAGACCACTATTATTAAAACCAATACAACTACCACTACTACTGCTACGACTAATTCCAAAGCGAACGATACTTTAAAACTTTCTTTAGCTCTGTCATCCCCAATAACACAAGAACAAGCCCAACTACCTCCTCCAACATCAGCATCATCTCCTTCAAAAGTAACTTGTACTAGTGCAACAATAACAGAACAAATACTTACCGTCCATGGTGATGTTAATAATGAGAATGGTGCTGGTGATGATGATGATGTTGTTGAAATGCCAGGACCAAATGGTTCAATAACTAAAATGACTATGGAAAATAATCTTCTAATAGTAGAGACAGAAGAGAGCAATGTAAGTTGAAAAAATTCAGTAAAGATAAAAACCGTTGTGTCTCTTTTTTGAATGTTTGTTTTGTGTTCTTATTTCTGTTCCTTTTCAAAATGTCAAAAAAATAATTACAAAACTTAGATGTGTTTGTTGTAAACGTACATTTTTATATGTTCTTATAATATATATATTTTTTTGTCTAAGTAGAGATCAGCAAAATTACAAGTATTCGTATTTACTTTGCCCACATGTCTACTAAGTATATCTACTTAACTACTTACAATAAATAATACTTCTAATGAAAAAAAAATAAATATTATTAAATAAACAACTACTTATGTACTAAATTTTTACCATTCTATACTAAAATACTTACTTCTTTTACTACTACTACTACTACCACCACTTCTACTACTTTCGGAGAAAAATATGGTTAGATATGTTTACAGCAATCATTTCTATAAACTGTTATTATATCTTCAATTGTCGCAACCATATCATGCTAAATTAATTATTAAAATAGCTGTTGCAATCATATATAAATCTACGCCAAACAAGAGTATGATATCAGCAAATTATTGTGACAAACATATATTAGTTTGCTGTAACAATATAAAAGATTGCAGCAGCTTATTAAAAATAAAATAATTACGACAACTAAAAAAATATATCTATAGTTAACATTATATTGTGAAATTTGTTATACTGACCATAGATTGTCGGATGTCCAACCACATTTTTTCTCTGTATACTAACTTTTGTACTTACTACTATTGTTCTTAAAACTCACCACAAATTGTTGTTGTGTTATATAAATTATATATATTTTTTCTATTTTTTTTAATATTAAATTCATTTTTGTAAATAATTGTTGTTAGAAAATGTGAAAATTGATCTACCAACGTACTTCTTAAACTTTCTTAAATGTTGCTTTTGCTTAAAGTTTTTGTTTATAAAATGATACTGTCCCTTTTCTGTGTAATCGTATGTGTATTGGTGTACTGTATTGTTCCAAATCTACTGACATTTGGACGGTTTTTGGATTAAAGTTCTTTTTTTTAACATAAAAACACAAAATGCACGTCATTTTTTCTCTAGCTTTCGATGTATTTTTTTCTTATTTATCATAATTAATTAATTAAATAAGAATATGTAATTAAATTTAATTTTTTATACAATACATACTTATACATAAATATGATCTTTATTATATTTAACTGAGTTTTGAAGAACTTTTAAGTTTATTAACCTTTACTTTTTCAAATCAATTTGTCTTATAAAATCTTTACTCTTTGAAGAAGATTTTTAAACATTTGTAAATATTATTTCAAAAGCATTATTACCTATGGGAATAAACTAAATTTTTTCTAAATACAGCTTTTACTATTGTAGTAAACTGCTCTGAAGAGAGTAAGCTGTTCTAAAGAAAACTTTACACCCTAAGGTATTAGTGATTTTACTCCTTAAGAAAGTAAACTATTCTAAGGAAAGCTTTCATTCTTAAGTAAACAATTTTTCAAAGAAAGCATTACTTATAATGTTACCTACAAAATTTTACTTTTCTAAAGAAAGCTTTACTGTCTTATTCATAACAATTTGTTAAAGGTTTATAGAGCCAATTTTGCATGAAAATTTGATAAATCGTTATGAATAAGTGCCTTAGTCTTTAAGGGATCAGACATTTAACTTGTAAAATTTTCTAATGAAATTTTGTGCCCTAAGGATGAGGAAAGCTTTCTTAAGCTTATGTTTTGCTACCTAAGCGACCAAACTTTTATCAAACAAACTTTACTCTCTAATGAGTAAACAGTTCTAAAGAAAACTTTATGCCCTAAGAGAGTAAATAATTCCAAAAAAAAAAGCTTTAGTTCCTTCGGGAATAATTTTTTCTATAAAAAGCATTCTCCAAGTAGTAAATTGTTCTAAAGGAAACTTAACTCTCCAAGGTATAAACCTTTAGAGCCTTAAAATTTCTAAAGCTTTAGGGTCTAATGAAGTAGACTTTTCTAAAGAAAGATTTACTCACTAAAAGAGTAATCTGTTCTAAAGAAATCTTAACTCCCTAAAGAATACAACTTTTCAAATGCAAGGCTTGCTTCACAAGGAACAAAATGTTTTAAAGAAAACTATACTTTTTAAGGAGTAAATTGTTCATAAGATAGCTTTCCTTCCTTCCTTAGAGAATCAGCTTTTCTAAATAAACATTTTATTTAGATTTATTTAAAATGTTTTATTTATAAAAATTTACAAATTATCTAAATTCTTCAAAACCCTTTTATTTAAGGAAAATCTTTTTATGTTTCCTTTTTGGTTATCTAATCATTTCATATTCTCTATCCCTTAACTTGTTAAACTTTTCAAGGATATTTCGCGAGTAGCTAGAGAAACCAAAATGGATTATAATAAAGATGGCGTCTTTGTTGTGGAGGTAGCGAGGGGAATAGACTCGAAAACTATACCCGAAAGTCCAGTAACAGATGGTTCAGAGAAAATGCTTTCAATGTTTGAAACAAAGCACAATAATGGTGGTTTGGGCTATAAAGTAACGAACGAAAAGAATTGTGTCAATAATGAAAAGGTACAAATCCATTCACCACCTCCAGAGAATGGTGAAGAAGGACCAAGAAGTCTGCATCAAATAGAAGAACTAGAAGAGCCCACCAATTCGCCTCAGCTTAATGAGAACAATGATGAAGAAATTGCGGGATTAAAATATAAAGCCAATACTGGTTTATCGCAATCTGATTTGAGCACCACTTCTTCAAGTGATTCCAATAAGGGTTACTGTTATGGTAATCAGGAATTGTATGTGGTGGAACAAAGTGGTTATGCCGCGTCAACTCCCAATGGTAATGTAGTCTTAAAGTGTGATGTTAAGGATATCAAGGATGATGATCGTAATCCGGGAAATGATCATTATCTCAAACATTCACCCGATAAAAAGGAGGAGAGTAAAGATCAAGAGGATGTTGTAGAGACCACCAAAAAGCCGCAAGAAGGAGGCACGAGAACTAGTTCGGGAGAATCACCGGCTCAAAAGCAAAATGATAAGCCTCAAGAAAATGGAGATAATATCATTGAAACTGAGAATATACAAAATTTACAACAATTAGACAGCAACAATTCAGAAATCAATAAGGAAAAAGGCGAAGAGGAGGAAGTTAATAATAAGCAATTAGAAAATGTCGAAAACTCGACCAAATCTGAGCTGGAAAACCCAGCTAAAATTCCTACAATTACGCAAAATATTCCCATACCAGTCGAGATAGAAGTGCATATAACACCTGCTGATATGGAGAGCTCAAATACAGATGAAACTTCGACACCTCTAAAGTCAACAATAACAGCTGACTCTCCTGTTTTGGAAGCAACTGAAAGTGTTACGGAACCTTTGATTTTGGAAACGATTCCTGTAGAACTAGAGGATAATCTAGCTGTTGAAACATTACTTCCCATTGAAACAACAATACCCCTTAATGAAACAACTTCTGCTCTTCTTGTAGAAGAGGATGAAACTGGCAATAGTATTTCCGATGATTTGGCTATTTTAGCAGTTCCTGATAGATTTTCCGATAAAGAGACATCTCAAGAAGATATCAGTTCAATTAAGGCAATAGAAAATGACGCAGTTACTTTGGAAAATACGGATGAGCCATGTGAAACTGAAGCAATTGCAGAAGTTCCAACAGTAGAAAAACAACTTGTAGAGAATATGGAAGAGCAATTAATGGAAGTGAAGGAAGAAGTCACTAAACCAAAATCAATAGTTCCAACAGTTGAACCAATTGCTGAAGTTCCAACTGTAGAAGAACAACTTGAAGAGAATGCGGAAGAACAATTAATGGAAGAAATTACCAAACCAATTTCGGTAAATGGAGAAGAAACAACTGATAATAGTACTCCGCATATAAATGGAGTATCTGAAAGCCTGGAAGCAGAAAGTGAGAAAACCCAAGATTTATGTACTACACAAAATGGTATTGAATCCAATGAAAAAAGTCCTCTGCATATTAAGGGAGAAAAAGAAACAGAACTTACGCCTGAAGATGGCAATACTGGAAATGAACCACACAAGACAGAGTCACAAAATGGTTTGACTCAATCACATGTTGAGTCTTTGACAAATGGCACCTCTGATTTAGTCAAATCACCACAAATACAGAATGGTCATGCGGAGATAGAACCTATAAGTATTACTCTTAACGACATGGAAAATGGTTATGATAGTATAATGAGTTTGCCTGAACCACCACCCACCACAGATGAACAACTAAATAGTGATTTAAGTGAACAACAATTGGATTCCTTACCACCACCACCGCCTCCAGAAATATTCAATTTAAAAGACTTGCCACCACCGCTAACCAATGGCAATGCAGATTCTCCCCAAAGCGAAGAGTCCACCAATTTTTACAATACATTACCACCTCCACCACCAACTACACTGGAAGTAACTGCCTCAGCAGAAACCACAACAACAGCAACAACAAATGGCAAAGTCCATGCATCACCCTTAACACCTCCTGCATCACCGCCAGCTCATTTTACAAATAATCTGCATGCTGGACTCTGCTCACAGCCCATTGCTGTAGATGTTAATGGCAGTTAATGCATTAGACTAATCCAATATTCCAATTAAAATATATAAAAAAGAAAAAAACAAACAATAACTGACTGAGGAGTTTTTAATTCAATACAATTTTTAAAACATTAAAAAAAGAAAAAAATCAAAAAAAAAAAAAACTTGCAAAATAAATAAAATAAAAATATTTAGGTAGGCATTTACACGGTAAAAGCAACGAAAATAATAAAACAAAATGGAACTGATTCAAAACAAAACACGGAAGTAATAAAAATAAAAATTAAAGGGAAACGAAAACGAGTAGTAGTTAGACCATAAGTTTTTACTATAAACTCTTAAAATTTAAATATTTACGGTAATAAAACCCAAAATAAAAGAAAAAAGAGAAAAGAAGAAAATTAAACAGAGAAAACAAACTGCTACAAGCAGAGTGCCAAAAACATAAAAATGTACTTATCCCCCTTCAATATGAATAAATTTAATCTACATAATAAATTTTATTTTTTTTTATTTTATTACAAAAATACAATATAAATATTAATAATAATGATAACAAAAAAAAGTAGGAATTTTTTTAGATAAAACCCTCTTACTTAACTCTTTAAATATTAAAATAATATTTTCTATGATTTTATTTAAATTTAGGTCAACTTTAACTCAGCCAAGCCAAAAACCCCCTACAAATAAATTAATAATGTAAAACCTTCTTTAAATATTTATAAACAAAAATGTAGTCAATCCTTTAAAAAGTACTAAAAGAATTTGTTGTTAAATAAATTTAACTTTAAACAAAAAAACCAAAAAGAAAAAAAAAAACAAATGTATTGTATAATTTTTTCCAGTGTAGTTTTAGTGTAATCAAATTTAAGCCTAGTGTTGCATTCCCAAAACAAAATTGGAATTAAAAGTAAATAGTATAACAAGCGAAGCAAAAAAACAAAACTTTAGTATATTTAAATTGAAATCCTTTAAATCCTCTCCACTATTAATGTCTATGCTATTTAAAATGAAACAAATGAAAAAAAAAAAAACTAAAATAAACAAAATGTTGAATTAAATCTTTTAAGTAGTTTTAAAATAATTAATAATTTGCCTATAGTAAACCGTAAAAATTAAATGAACAGTAATGCAATTTTCAATTCCATATAGCGAAAATGGTGGTGTTAGGGGTTTGTTAGACATTTTCGGGGTAATAATTTTAGGCAAAAAGTGATGTGTTTTTTTATTATAATGTGTTTGTTTAGAAAAGTTCCAACCAGATATGTACTTTCAGTTTAATCTTGTGAGTTTTAAATGACTGATTCTACGATCATTTATAAGCTTGTTGTTCAACATTTTCAGCTTTCAAGATATGAGGCATGAACTTGAATTGGCTTTATTCACAAACAATTCTCTTTTTGATTACCACCGATCTTGAAAGCAAAGATTATAAGAGTGAATTTTTCCTTTCTTTGATCTGAAGCAGGTTTTAACAGAGAGCTATAAATTAAATTCTCTGACTGATTTACTTGAAATTTCCTTTAAGAGATCTTATGAAATAGCTCAAATCCGAAGAAATACACCTAGGCCACTATCGGGCCTGTCGTGCGCTCCTTTTCATGAAAAAAAAAAATTTCACTGAGTATATTATTTTTCAATGTTCAGAAACTCAGTTTCCTGGAAGTAATTCCTAAGAATTTTCCAATCAGTGTTAGTCAGGAATGTTATTTCCGGAATAACTTCACTTCAAAGATACTTGGATCTAACTTCGACGAATACTTAACAGTGGCAAAGAAAGTGCTGCAGAGTTTCACTGTCCTCCCCACATGCTCTACATTCGTCTGAATCCGAACGGCCAATTTTGTATAGATGTGCTTTTAATCCTGTGTGTCTTCAGACTTGCTCATTTTGAGGAGGTTTTTTGTCTTGTTCTCATCAGGGTCAGCCCATAGGATCTTTGTGGTTCTACCCACCGTTTCATTAGGCCTTATGGGATTCTCTCACCCATATTTTTAATTCAGCTTTTGTTGCGTCAGGTTAACTATCTCGGACTTCTGCCTGGAAGCTTGTGTTATAATTAGGTGAACGGTGGTGTATTTCTGTTTCTGGGTCTTCAATATAGAAGCCCACTTTATTCCCGAATTTAGAGCCATCCGTATAACAACGGATTCCTACTGGTATTTGCTCTAGTTTTCCGCTTGACCAAGACATTCTATCTGGGATCAGCGTTTCATAGTTTCCGACAAATTCTGTGTCTGGTATGCGATCAGGCACGTCCGATGATTGTGTATAGACTTCCCATGTGTCCAGTACACATTGATGACGTGTCCTGTAACTGCTTTTGGCCAGTTCGCCTAAAGAAGTGCTCTAAAACTATAAAATGACTGATTTAAAGATTTTAACATGATAATATATAGGCTTGTAAGTCAGTCTTTTCAGCTTTAATTAACATCGCTTGAGGCAATACAAAATTTGTACAAGATATGACGCATAATAGAAAATTCTCTTTTTGGTTACCACCGATCTAAAGTAAGCACCGGTTTGAGCTTAAATGCAATTGTTATAAGAGTGAATTTTTCCTACATTTTATCTAAAGCAGGATAAGTTCTCTGACTGATTTTCTTGAATTTACTTTAAGAGAGCTTATGAAATAGCTATATACCTAAATCTGGTCTCAAGTAAATTCACCTAAAACAAGAAATGCTCTGAAATTATGAAATGTTTTTAGATTTAATTTCTTAAAATTTTTTCATACAAAAATTTTAGAACTCGTTCTTAAAATGTAGTTATAGAACGAGTGCAAAGAGAACTACTTCAGATTCTTAAACAACATCCTTGGAAGTAGTGATGGTGCCAAATTGAAACCAAATCATTAGTTAAAGTACGAGTGCCGACTTCATAACGCTTCCTAGTTTCGAGGTTGACGAATTCGAACAATAATCATCGATTAAAGAACTGGTTCCAGATCCGTTCCAAAGAATGACTTCATAATGCTTCCTCTGCTGTTGTGTTTAGTTTCTATATTCCAAGATTACTCAAGATTAAGCCTAAAACCAGGGATGGAAAAAATATATGAATGAAAAATTCGGATTTTTTTTTGTAAAAATTTTACTTTTTAATAAAATTAGAAAAAACGAAAGAAATTAAAAATATTTTAATTTTTTTTTTTAAATTTTACAAAATTTTAAACAAAAACTTAAAGTCATTATTTTAACACGGTGATGTCATTGGAGGCAGATGCTTAAAAGTAATTAGAAGAATTAGTCGTTGTAAATCGCATGAAAAGACGTATACATATACGTTCTATACCTTCACAGACAAGAGGTCTAATAAATTACAAAGTATTTATATAACACATTATTAGTAAGACCATAGACTACTTCTATGTAATACTAAAGATATGTAGTAGTCATTGAAAAGTACATACGTTGTTAGGTAAGTAATTACAATTGAAAATCATTACCTAGTTTTTGCTGGGCAGTAGCCTTTTACATTTCCATATTATGTCCTGTTTTCTGAAAAAGCTCTAAACATTTTACACATCCATGAGCAGTTGAAACTAATCTACAGTCCACCTTTACCACTGTTCAGTTTAACTTTATAATGCTAAATAAACCCAAAATATAATTTTTTTTGTAAGCAAACCCAAAAAAGCTAATATTTTTTTATTTAAACAAAACCGATACAAAATAAAATTTACTAAAATATGGTAAATAAATAAAAACAATTGCCAAAAAAAAAAAAAAAAAAAATATTGAATAAAGCCAAACTATATATAAAAAACCGAACATACAATTTTACAATTTATATTTATAAAAATAAAAATGACAAACAATATGGAAATAATATAGTAAATGTATATACATTTGCACTGAAAAAAACCAACAATAGACAACAAAAACACAAAAGATACTTACGTGTGACTCGAAATGGAATATTTAAAATAATTAAAAATTTAATACATTCATACATACGTTATGTTAGTAAGGTAATTGATATGGTCAAATAAAAACCATAATAAATAAATAAACTTAAAATAATAAAAACATATAAAAAATTAAATAAAATGAACAAAATATACAATAAAAAATTAAAAAAAACCACAAACGTTTTTTTTTATGTAGAAAATAATCTTGTCATAAAACAATAAAAAGAAAGAAATGTATTTTTTAAATTTATTTTATAAATATTTATTTATTATATTATGTATGTATGTTGTGTTTTTCTTTTGTTTTTTTACAAATACCAATAAAACCTATAAACACACCCTCATATTTACACAAAGGTAAATTGATAAATAAATAAATTAAAAATATACTTAAAGTATTTTTCATTTACATACATTTGCACATTTTAATATACAAAAACTATTTTTCTATGATTTTTTTTTACCCACATAAAATTGTTGATTTGTATGTGTTTGAACCCAATAGATTTACAAGGAGTAATTGTATCCTTTTTTAACAATATTATACATTAATTAAAATTAACAATGCTTTACTAAACAGACATATTAGTAACCACTGTTAACTTTATAATAATTTATATATTTTTGGATCGTCTGATAGGTATGAACGCTATGTAATTCAGAGTTGAAACCAGTCGTCACTTTAGTGTTCCTAATTAGTCCTACCACAAGCAGTCTCTTAAAACGTCTAAGTTCAAGTAAATTGTGACTATTGCATTTAACTAAGTAATCCTAAATGTTAGGAAAAGTCACCCCGAACTGCAGGAAATGGAACACATACATATACACTTAATATTCAATGAACAAAAATGTACATTCATATAAAGATATACAACCAATTGGACGGACAATTAAATTGAAATCTTCACAGTTCAAAAAAGAATATTTATTGTTAATATTTGTTGATATATACAATTAATTGGCAATGTTATGCATATAATCGTTTAAACAATATACAGAATTTAAAAGAAGGATTTCTTTAAAATGGAACCAGTTGTATATCTTTTAACTAGTAATAATTTGATAATAAGGCGACAAAAACTTAAATTTTTCTATTTGGAAGGCTTCAGATCTAGTGCCTATTCTAATTTTTTCAGTCAACAAATTCTTAGCAAATAAGAAGAAAGTTATACAATTTCTCGGAAAAAGAGCAAAAACTTTCATTCAACTTTCATCAAACTAAATTATAAAATGATTTGATGAATGATCTCTTACAACTAAGTAATTAAATAAGTCATTACGTATAAAATATACCGACACTGAATACCAACCTTTTTCTAGCGATCATTAGTCTCTGACGTACTCACAACATCGCTGCTGAGTCATTTCCTTGTGCATCGAATAAACAAAAGATTTCTGATCAAATAAAATATGCAAATAATGTATTACGTATTTGATTATATGTATGTATATAAGTCATTATAGAATAGCATTTTCTGAAGGGCACCTTATATGGGAGGTAGAGAGATATTGGCTCAGAAGAAACTTACTTGTGTCGAATTTCATGCCTATATAATTATGACATTTAAGGCAATTTTTTAGGGGTCACTTGTATAGGGGCTATTGCTCATTTTCAATACCAAATAAGCCTTAGCAATAGAGAATATTTCTCCAAATTTCAACTATATAGCGTGTGGTCCCATCGTGATTTCAACAGACAGACGGACATGACTATATCGTCTTAGAATTCAACTATATAGCGTGTGGACCCATAGTGATTTCAACAGACAGACGGACATGACTAGATCGTCTTAGAATTTAATAACGACCCAGAATATATATACTTTCGTGAGTCTATGACCAATAATTTGGTGTGTTACAAACGGAATGACAAACACAATATACGCCCATCTTTTTTGATGGTGGCTATAAGAGGATATTAGTATTTGTTTGATCTCTTGTTATTTTCCTTTTGGTCGAAAACGTAGAATCCTATCTAACATCGTTAAAAGACATTTAAACTTAAAAAGAAGAAGCCTTATTTGTGATTACAAAATTTCCCCTGAATATCCAAGGTTTTGGTCGACATCATAGAATCGTTTTTAAAAGGATCTTATCTTCTTTGTGATAACTCACACTTTTCCTCAAAAAAACCGATTTATTGTCAAAAACAAAATTGTTTGATATTTTAAGCATATGTGAATCCGACATTTATTTTCTACGTTTAAGTACTGCTCTGGATTTTTCAGTTTTGTCTGCAACAGTTTTGATAGTAGCTTAAATGTCTGTCAGGATAAAATTTCAACAAAATCACTCCTTTGAATAACTCTCTTGCACATATTAACCCAATTAAACACTACATACAATCACAAAAAATACATTTATACAATACATAAAATCATAAATATTCAATTGATTTATAAAGTGTTTCTTTTTTAACTTTGTTGTTGCTATTTTTTGTTTTCTTCCCATTGTGCATTTTTTATGCAGTTTACTGGAATACAAACACATAATAAATACACACACAAATACAAGTTCATATTTGTTTGTATATGATGAAATAATGATGAAAATACTTGAGACAAAAAAATGAAAAGTAGACAGAAATATTATAGGTATTATAATTATTATAATAAATCAATTAGTTTTTATGATCTAACAAAAAATTCCAATAAAAATTTTTATTAACTTGATAAAATACTGAAAAAAATGAACATTATACATTAAAATAAT